AACCTTACAGAGCCATGTCCGATTGAGGGATCTAATATTCGCGTCGACAGCTGATGTTTTCATTGCTGGACGGATAAAACTATCCAACTCAGAGACTTTGCGTTTGAAGGTAAACGCTGGTTGGCCTTGCTGTTGAAGGGTAAGGATTGCCAAATGATGGAGGCACTGCAAAACTTGGAAGAACACCTTCACAAAGGGTTCTTCCTCCTTATGAGTGGGGACTGGTTGGCGTCGGTGGGCTGGTAGTCGTTTCTGTTGTTGGTCAGGTCGATGGTTACCTCTTGATTGGTAGGCTGTGTTGTAGGTAGGTCGGCGATGGGGTGGGATATAGCTGGATGGGTTGGTTGGTGGTCGGCGATTGGTAGGTGGTGGAGGTCGATGGAAGACAGGGCCGTTGTAGGGTACGTGATATTGGTTTGGTTGACGATTAGTGTTTCTATTTCTGGCTTCTTGCCAGTGGTTGTTGTAGTTGGGGAGCATAATGAAAATAACTTGGGGTTAGAAGGGAATGTACAGCGGATGTAACAGGAGGAAACTGTATATGCTAGCGTGAAAATGTTGGGATCAAATTATGCAAATAAGTCAAGCTGGGTTTGGGGATATATAAAGCAAGATGAAAAATGCAAAAAAATATATATTTAGGTGATAAATAACGCTAACAATGATGTGAAAAATTATAACAAGTAAAACAAAAACTTACGCAATTGACACGAACCGGTTTTCGAAATATTATCCTTTTTCAAGTGTCGAGGAATGGTCTCATCGGGAGAGATGGAACTATAGGGTGAAGGGTGATCCAACACCGCGCAGATCAAGTAAAGAGACCACAAAATATTATTGTGTTAGGTCAAATTGCATTGTTAAGCGTTTCAGCTACTTTGTTGCGTCTAGAGATCTCAGCATTACGGCTAATATTAGAGATCGACTACTTGAGTCACATATTAAGACATTAAACGAACAGCTTAACTACATTTTGTAGTTACTAATTACATTAATGAGTGCCTTAGAATAGGATCATGTAGAATTATTTTGCATTTTGTTATTTTGTGACTATGTCCATTGAATAAAACAGTTTTTGTTTTTGGTTTATCGTACTCAAACGGTCTCTTTGAAAGTTACACTAAAGCTCGGCAACAGATTATGGTTTTTGGAAACTGTGCAATGTAATTTCCACTAATTTTGAACCCTCCTCATTTCCAACATCCAAGGATGTCAACATAAAGCGGTGGAGAAACGAGAGTGGGGAGGGAGGCATAGCATGGAAATGCCCAAATTGTGATGGATGGCATGTTGCCACTAAATACGCTACTGG